AAAAAAAAAAAAAAAAAAAATCGAACGCTAAATTTCGGAAGTTTAATTTTCGGATTTTATCGCATTTCGGACAGATTTTGGCGTTTCGAACACTTTGCTGATACACCGACAAGAAAATAATACAAAGAATAGATATATCTCTGTAAATAAAACTGATTAAAGAAAACTTTCGAATAAAGGGAAAGGCAAGTATGTCTCACTCAAACCTGCCGAAAAATGTCGTAAATGGTGCCATGACTCGAAAAACCGCGGGAAAGTCTACAGACCGTGGCACAATACACCACGGGGGCAGTATCGATACAACAGTTGAGAATGCAAAGTGTAGTCCTTCTTCAATTGCAAAGGTAATTTGGGGGGATTTCAAGGTTTGTTAATTATCATCGTAATTACGATTGACGGAAGTAAAAAGCAGTAAAAAAGGTCATTACTCGTTTACAAGCCCTTCAAAGATCATATCACAGTCTAACCAACATTGCGCGAAGGCTCCTCTACCATGTAGCTTTGTAGATAAGTAAGGCGGCTTAAATCCTAATTGTATTGAGCTCATCTTCTACTAGATTTTAAATAGACATTTCATCTTCTTTTTGCAACCAATGGTTTTTCTATTATCAGCTACAGGTAGTGTAATTACCGTAGCAGTATTCGCAGTGCCGTTTTTCGGAGCTGCGGAACGACGATAGAGGAGGAAACATTCAAGGGCACTTGACGATGGAAAGAAAAGCCAGAATTGAAACAGTGCCTCTGCTTAAACGTCACATTTTACACTAACGAGCTTTTGAATTGGAGGGTTCGTCGCCTAATTTACTTGTTAATAGTGGTTACTGAGCTAAACAATTCATGTTAAGGTCACTAACTGTTGAGAATTATTGAGCCGACATTCATTATTGAAGTTCACGAGATGGCCAAATTTCATCAACACAAATTTCGCCAAATTTCGCCAAATTTCGAGAGGAACTCTAAGAAGTGACAGACACACAGAGCTATTGTTCTTCTTAGGGGAGTTCTTGGGTCATCTTTTGCTCGGTACATGTATGTGACACTGGCCTCTCAGAACCCCTACCCGAATATAGTCTATAGCTATAAGCCAATTAAAGAACCCAATTTAGTCACTTTTGGGCAAAATTTATGTTTATGTATGTACTTTATCAAGCTTTTTAACTAGTTCATTCTAAAATGAGGTGACACATTTGTTAAACTAAATTTAGAACCATGAATCTTCCAACTTTTAAATCTCTACTTGCCAGAATTTTTTCTGAACCCAAAAATCCCTAAAATATGCGACCCCTTTCTATTAAATCTATTAAAAATACAACCCTATTCTAGTCAATCGAGTCGAGAAAATGCGACCCCTTCCAGCGGCACATCTGGCCCCTCCCAGCCTACAAAGAAAGATAAAAAAAGCCAATAAAAAAAGCAAACAATAAGATATAGCTTTAAAATAGACATAGGCAAGGCAATAACAGNTACTGTACATGTAAATTAATACAAAAGGTAAACGTTTACACCTCATCGCATTTTGCAATACACTGACCATGTATCCAAACTGTAAACTACTTGGTACCCAACAAGATAGCAGTTAATTTTGTACTTACCATTGACAGTCACAGTGACACTTTCACTTTCTGTTGATTCTAAAGAGTTATTAGCCACACATTTGTAGATGAACACTCCTCCACTTGATAATGTCCTGCTCCACATTCCTGATGTGTCTGATACCACAGAGCCATTCTCCAATAGCTGATATGATGTCACAGATGGAACAGCATCAGCTGAGCAGTTAATGCCGATAGTTTCACCTTCACATGCTTTGTTGTCAGCTGCAGACGTCTTCAATTGCACATTCTCTGATGGATCTAAAAAGTAGGAAAAAATAGTTTCATACTTGTTAGGGTTGTCTCAAACAATTCTCTCCTACATGTAAGTTTTGGACTGGAGGATCATTTATCATGTGCAATAGTGGAGAATTGAATGGTATTGTGGATACTTCAAATGTAATTGTCCATGTCAGCCCAAACTCCAATTTAGACTATTATGCTGTATCTATGTTTGTGGACAAGCAATCATTTCATTAAGTAAAACATAATTCCAAATACACCAATCCCACCTCCTCAAGCATACAACATCAAAAGTTAAACATTTAACTGCAAGACGAATTACACTATAATGCATGTAACACTAGTAAGGTAAAATTGCGACAGTAATCATTACTCGTACAAGTATTAATCTCACTTCTAGTAAATTTCTTTCTTTCTCAACAGTTCCCCAAAGCATAACCTTTTACAGTGCACTGTAGTTTTGCAATTTAACTGTCTTCAAAGATTTCCCTAAAAAAATTTCACTTGTCAATTGATCAGAGAATTAAGAATTCACTATCCCAAACTGTAAAATCCACTAGACCCGGGCGATTGGACATGATTTTCCCTGCTTGCTGCCCAGGCTTCATTTGGAGTTAACTAAGTACTAAACACTGATACTTACACTGCACTTCAATTGTTGCTGTCTCTGATGCATTGCCACACTCATTACTGGCCTCACACCTGTATTCTCCAGCTTGACTTCTGTTTATATGGGTGAACACTAACTCACTTGCATCAAAACGCTCACCACTATCAACCTTGATCCAAGACACCATTGGTGGAGGAGTCCCAGAGGCATTACATGACACAGTCACATTTTCACCTTCATCTATTGTCTTATTTTGTATTGGCTGTATGAAGGATGGAACTGTGAACAAACAAGTTACAAGAAGAACAAGAAGCTTAATCATTTTTTCCTCCAACTGATACATTTCAGAGAATGGTTCATCTCCACCGACAGTAAAAATAAATGGCACTCACACTGTATGGAAATGGTAAGGTATTCAAAGAAAAACCTAGATAGGAGGGGGAGGGGAGGGGAGGGCAAGACAGGTTTTGAAATTACAAAACAATTCCATGAAAGGAAGCTTGCTAGTTTCAATTATTTGTTTTCTACTCAGCCTCAGTCACAGACAATTTGCAACCTGGAAATTGTAAAACCACAAACATCAAGACATACATGTAGGAAATTATGAGATTATACTGAATAACAGTACAATTTGTTCCTAATAATGCAAAATCAGATGCCTGTGGATGTTACAATGCCTGTAACATCCACAAAGTACACCAGGTTCAATGTTATTAATTTTATGATACACTCGCTGTATTTAAATGTTTGCTGATAGACCTATTTGTGCACCCTTTGATAGGTTGCTGTGTCTTTTTTCTTTCCAAAAGAATTATGAACAGAACAAACACCTACTTTCAAACAGTCTGAAGAAAAAAATCGAGACAGTTTCTGAGTACTTGAAAGTACTTAATGTTAACTAACTTTCAACTACATGTATAAACATTCTTAATCTATAATTATAATTCTGAACCAATTTTAACTTCTAATAACTTAGACACAATTTCCAAGTTGCATAAGAAAAACCTCTACACTCAGATAACAAAACCAAACATCAATTTTCTGTGCATCCCTTCCAAACAGGTGTTATCTACTGTACATGCGGAAAAATAAACATGCCAGATAACATGTTGAGCATAAAGTTTTAGCCGATGAAGAAAACATGTGGCACTTCAATGTATTGGACTACAGTGCAAGTGAATTGGATCACACTGTGTATCTGCTTTCTGTATACCCTACTAGACAGTATTTTGTCATTTTTAGCATCTCCCTTACCATTGACAGTAACAGTAACACTTGCATTATCTCCCGTTCCCAAAGTGTTGTTAGCCATACATTTGTAGATGAACGTTCCTTCGGTTGTAAAGTTCCTGGTCCACATTCCTGACGTGTCAAAGATAGCAATGTCATTCTCCAACAGCCGATATGATATCTCAGATGGAACAGCATCAGCTGAGCAGTTAACGCTGATAACATCACCACGACATGCTTTGTTATCAGCTGCAGATGTTTCCAATTGCACATTGTCTGGTTTGACTGAGAAAAGATTCACTTGAATCATTTAGTTTGAAATGTGTGCAGCAAATAATGCATCAGTGAACATAATTGTTACAATTCACTTACCCTTTTAATAAGTCACATACCGTAGTATTCCGAAAGTAATGGCCCCCCGTTACTTTCGGATTTAGCAGGCAAAATGGGCTGCTACTTTTGGGTAGCCGTTTCTTTTGGATGGTTAAAGAACGTTTGTACAGTAACAGTCATTTCAGACAAAGCAAACACATAACAAAAAATTAAGCATTCCACTTATGTGTGTTTCCAACTACCCCCATAAACAAAGCAGACTGTATAAACAAAGGAGGCCCTAAACCGGTTGGTACTGTAGGGTGAAACTAAATCGCAATACAACTGATTATCCTACAGTTAATCACTTGATCCTGCTGCTAGACAAACACCGCTTATAAATCATAGTTTCAAGAAAAATTCACTCAAATTGGAAATAAAATCACAGATAACTCTTCAAGTCAATGTTCAGTCCTGCATTCAGGCTGTTCCATCTGCATGACCCATGCTTGACTCATGCTCTCATGCATCCAAAACTCTATATATGCACACTTAGCATGAACCAATTCTTTTATTTTGTATACATGTACATGTATGCAGGACCATACCACTGCCAAAAGTACATGTAAATCCACCCACACTGCTCTTTTCAAAAAAGATATAACACAAAAACAACCTAATTTTAAGAAAAATATTTCAATTGACAATATTGCAATGTTTGTAAAGTAACAAACCAGCTAGCCAAAAATATCTATTGTTTAAAGACATTATAACTTACACTGCACTTCAACTGTTACTGTCTCCGATGCATTGCCACACTCATTACTGGCCTCACACCTATATTCTCCAGCTTGAGTTCTGCTACTGTTTGTGAACACCAGCTCACTTCCATTAGTACTCACATCACCGCCGCCAACCTTGATCCAAGTCAGCATTGGCGGAGGAATCCCAGACGCATTACACAACACAGTCAAATCATAACCCTCCATTACTGTCTGTTTCTCTATTGGTTGTATGGATGAAGCCACTAAAACAATACAACAAAAACTAATAAGTAAAAGAGAAAGTCCTTTTTAAGGATGTGTCTGGCTAGCATTCTTCAGGACATATTAAGCATTGATTGGAGTATAACCTCCTTTAAATTAACTAAAGAAAATTCATATATTAACAATTATTTTTTGCTTGAAATATTGAATATTAGCTGTATGTGAACAAATCCTAGAATATTCTGTGAGAACCCAACCTCCATTTGTAAATGATACTGTATATCAGTGTAAAATGGGGTTGACTAGCCTACACGGTCAAAATGAAATTCAGGTTAAAATGATCTTAATCTAGATTGATTCTCAATTTCCTTTGTCTCCTAACCCTAATTATTCATGACCCATGAATAATTAGGGTTAAGAGACAAAGGAATTTCATTTTAACCTGAATTTCAGGTTGACTTACAATAATTATGTACATGTAGTTGTTCAACAGGTGTACTGTACTGTATTTTCAAATGATTGTAACAGTACAGTACATGGCAGTGTATGTCAATCAATAAATTCTGTTGCTGAGTTATCCATGTACATAATTATATATCTACATGTATACCAAAAATAATGTTTTTAATGATTAGACACATAATTAACAAGCCAACAACGGAAAAGAAACAAAATTACCATTGACAGTAACAGTAACATTTGCACTTTGTCCTGTTCCCAAAGAGTTGTTGGCCACACATTGGTAGGTGAACCTTCCTCCAGTTTTAAAGTTTCTGGTCCATATTCCTGATGTGTCTAAGATAGCAATGTCATTCTCGAACAGCTGATATAATGTCACAGACGGAACAGCATTAGCTGAGCAGTTAATACTGATAACATCACCACGACATGCTTTGTTATCAGCTGTAGATGTTTCCAGTTGCACATTGTCTGGTGCATCTGAGGAAAAAAAACACGATTTAATTTACATATAGTAGGCTACTGACAGGATCTACCCTACCATAACTGCAAGAAGTGTTGTCTACAAAGCAATGAAGATGAAAATCAGAGGTCACTTAGCAGTACATGTACATGTACATTCAAAAATGTTTCCCTTTAATAAACAACATAAGATAGTGATGTCATATTAGGCGGTTATTATGTCATGATAGCCAACTTCCATCTTGTGATGTTTTCCACCAAAGGACAGAAAACCAAACTCTCAAAAGTAATCAAAATCAACAGAACAGGGCAATTTTCTACCATTAATAATAAAATTAATTTTCACCACAACATAACCATTCCAGTAAAACAATATAATTTATAAAATTAATATATAATTATATACCAAATAACATAATAGTCTGAAACAATATTTCACTTACACTGCACTTCAATTGTTGCTGTCTGTGATGCATTGCCACACAGATTACTGGCTTCACACCTGTACTCTCCAGCTTGAGTTCTGTTTATGTTTGGGATCACCAGCTCATGCTCATTAGTAATCATATCACCCCCAACCTTGATCCAAGACACCATTGGTGGAGGAATCCCAGATACATTACACAACAGAGTCAAATTTCCTCCTACGGTTACATTCACATTTTGTATTGGCTGTATGGCAGAAGGTACTGCAAATAAACACAACAAACTGCTTGTACACATAGTTTAACAGGGCATCTGAAAGGATGCGGTGGCGCGGATCTGCATAATTCACTAACATCCACATCCTCCGCATAATCAGAACTCTTTTTCCACACAAAACAGAAAAAAAGTGTTTCATACAGTGGAACCCCAGTAATACAGACACCAAAGGGACATGCAGAAGTGTCCGCATTATCCAAGTGTCCACATTAAGTGGGCTAATCAAAGAGAAAATATATGACCTTTTTAGTTGTCGGGACAGAGAAAACTGTCTGTTACAAGCAAGTGTCCTTATTAAGCAGATGTCCGTAGGGCAGGGTTGCACTGTATAAGCGATAGAGCAGCTGCTTACCATCTCCACAAGTAAAAAGTGCCAAGAGATTATTTTGAAGTAGTTTTCCTCGTAAAACACTGATGAAAACATGCCATTTCACTCATGCCAAATTTTTTACCCCCTGGCATTCCAACCTTAAGAGTCTGGAAACTAGTTTTTCATCAACCAATGTAATAACTTGTTACTAAGTTACGGATGTTCCGACAATGCAACAACAAATTCTTCACACGAAATTCTACGGAAAACCTGTGTGAAATTAAGAAATACCTGTCAACAACTACTAGAAACAGATCAAGCATATGTCATTTTTGAAGTTGGCGGCATGATGTTTAATTCTATTAAAGAGCTAAAACTGTGGGTAAGACTTTGAAGTGCTTTTTGTTTTACTGCTGTTCAGTACATTGAAAAGGCATTGTTATCAATTTTGTTAACTGCTGAGATTTCCGCATAATTGTCGCATTTTTCCCCTGAAATATGTCCGCATAATTTGCTCTGAAGCATTACCCTCAGCCAATGGCAAGCTTGTTGAGGATGTTCACACTACTCCTAATGGGCAATTCCAGAAAATATCCATACCCAACCACGGACAGCTTCCATGTTTTAACCCCCCCTTGCCTTCGGAAATTCCAGAATGCGTTA